CTCCCATTAGACAATATCAAAAGAAGTGCATTTATGCCTTAACATGTTATTTAGCTCTGGGCTAGGGCTATTGTACCCAGCCTGTTTAGTTTTATTTTTTTACCTGCAAGTTCTCAAGCCTTTTTTATAGGCTTCAGTGACCTGTTCTTGTGTTGCAAGTCTGTAACCTAAACTCTGACACAGTTCACCAGCCTTCTGAAAGGTAAGAGAGTAACGACTGATTCCCTCGATGTGGAAAACACCAGCAAAACTGCATCTCCCACTGTTACCTGTCAAAAGGGAAACTAATGTGAATATTCAGATCTTTCTTTCTTTATTAACTCTTTTCCATGTGTAATCACACAAAAGATTAGTTTGTAAATGAAGGCCAGATGCAGGCTCTGTGTGTAATGGATGTGCAATTTACCATCAGGTATCATTACACAAATCTCCTAATGATTCAGTGCATGTGCAGACGTGAGCACATTGGTAACACATCTAAGCCATCCGTAAGCCTCTGGTTTTATAAATAACCTCTCGTTTTTGTCTTAAATAATATGTTGGGAGAATCATATGATTTTAAAAACATCAATTACATAGTCGAGAATCGTATTTATATTTTGCTGAAGAGGGATTTTGATGTACCTTGTATGCTACCAAATAGGTTAAGGTTGCTGTTTACACTGTTTAAAATGAAGGTTCCTTGTTGGCATTAATAGTGCATGAAGAACCTTGAACTTCTATAAAAGTTTTCCACTGCAAAGAAATGGTCAAATAAGTTTTTGTTTTTTGCTGCACTGCAACAAAACCCCTCCTTTTGGATCCTTTATGTTTAGGCAGTAGGAGATTTGTAGAAAATCATTAAACTTACTATTTTAGTTTTTTAATTAATGTAATTTTTTAATTTATACCAACAGAAAAGCCCCAGTTTGGACTTATATAAGCAAATACTGAGTTTATAATGACCTTGATTTTATCATATAAAGCAGTGCGAGCTAACACCTGACTACATTTGTGACCAGGGAAACTCTCGCCACTCCTACCCGCAGTCTTCGTTCTGGACTTGGATGCTGTATCAGCCAAGCTGTAAACCAAAGACCATGGCTGGTAAGTTATGAAATGGTCTACGGATCAGCAATGCCACTTCTCTGGACTGTTTTAAAAAACTTCTCAAGACTCACTTTTTTTACCAATGCTTCCTAACCCTAACGGAAGCTAGATTGATTTTTTTATTTTTTATTGTCAATTTAATCATTACATTTTATTGTTCATATTTTATTGTCTTACTGTGGTGTTCTTTTTTTACTTCTTTTTATTATTCTGCTTTCATACTATTTGCCTTGTATGCTTTGTAGCTCTTTGGGTCGGAGAAAGCTCACTATAAATCAAATTTATTATTATTATTAAGATTGGCTCATTATTGCAGTGATATGACTCTGTAATGTTAAATAAACATGACAAAAAGAAAAGGTTTTAAACTTAATGCAGCATAGCTTTCAGAAGACATACCATATTTCAATCTTGCATTATTTATTTATTTATTATTATTATTATTATTATTATTATTATTATGCTGCTTGTTCAAACTACTAATTTAAAATAAGCTAAAAAGACAAAATTCTTGAGAGTTTTTTCAAGACAACTTAATTGTTTTATGTTCAATCCATTTAAGTTTGTTAAGTAACTTGTGTTGGGACAACATGAATGTGTGAAAGTGTAGGATAAAAAATGAACAAAATGGTTCAGTGAGCCAAATAAATAAATTATTGTGAAAAATTGTTACATGTGGTTTGGCCACCACATAGGCCACTAAAACTATTGGCATGTGCTAGTGTAGTGGAAAGAATCAGAATCAGAAAGAGCTTTAATGTGTGAAGATTTATGCCAAAAATAACAAAAATAATTGCAATTTTTAATTCCACAAAACAATAATAATAATATAATAAAAACTTAAAATAATTATCCCCATAGTTGGCATAAATTAGCTATGCAGTTCTTTTAGAAAAAAAAATATACATATATATATATATATATATATATATATATATATATATATATATATATATATATATATATATATATATATATATATATATATATATATATATATATATATATATATATATATATATATATATATATATATATATATAAATGAGAGCAACATGAACAAACTAATTGACATAATTTTTTATATATACAATAAACAACCAGCCAGAGGTCATATTTCAGCACCATCATTACTTTGGAATCTAATCTGTACCCATAACAGCATCAGTTTAAACCTGTCAGATCTTAATTTAATTCCTAAGATATGAAGTTTCCCCAGTACAGCCCCAGGACTTCATCCTAAACCATATCACAGCATCTAAAATTTATCTGCAAAGAACATCATCAGTGCAGTATAAATAAATAAAAGAAGAAGAATATAAAAAAAAAACATTTAAGAACTGATGCACTGATCACAGACAAAGCATGGAGACTTACACACTCACACACTCACTGCAGCCTAATCAATACCACGAGTTTGGCCTCATCTTTCAGTTGTAAATACGTCATGACCAAGATGAAAACACCCGCCACCAGAATAGTCACTGCAAAGCAACACATTGACCATCACTCACCCTGAACCGGGGCTGCCTGAAGTACAGCTGGTGATCCAGTAGCAAACACTACAAATAACAAAGTCCACATGGTCAGAGCTGTGTCATGTGCTAGATGAAGAAGTGCCTCTTTTGTTGGCCCAGGATGGCTGTTCTAATGCGTTTGATTCTGTTTGAGTGTTTGAAGTTTTCTGAAGCCTCTGGAGTTGTGCCTCACCTTCTTTTATACAGCGGGCTTAGACTAAAGTACATGATGACACATTCAGTAATGGGTGGTGCTATGAAGAAAACACCCTCATATTGTCTCTCACACTTCCTCTCTCTTTGTGTGTCTGTGCAGCCAGCGTTAACATGTTAGGCACATTTGCATACTTTAAGTCACTCACGGAAGTACTGGTCAATCTGGTGAATCAGCTAATTTATGTATGCTGCAATTTTTGTGTTGTTGCAAGAAAAAAAGTGAATGTCATTTTAAAAGCAAGTTTTTGCACAGATCTAAACTGAATAATTGATGTGTTTAACTAGAATGAGTCACTTATAGATAAAGCGTTTTATAAAATGGACTCATGCACTGGACCCATGTCATATTCAGTGTCATTGGAAACCATGCATTTACATAAAAAATAACCATTTGATACAATGTAGTTATTTAGACTTTCATATATTGGTTAATATGTGCATGCAGTGCTGTGATTCTTACTGGATTCAATTACTCAGGTTGTTATAGATGGTAAAGTTCACCCAGAAATGACAATTACCTAATCGTTGTAGCCCACATGTAGTTTTAAACCTTTATAAGTTCCTCTGTTGAATACAAAGGTAGATATTTTGAAGCATCTTGGTTGCTAGGACCTGACTTCCAAGAAATATATAATAAAATACTGGAAGCCAATGGGTGGCTGCTACCTGCATTTAGTTTTTTTAATATCTAAGTGTCTAACAGAAGAAAGAAAATCTAATAGATTTTGAACAACTAAAGGGTGTGTAAATGATGACAGAGTAAAGCTATTGGTGATACCTACATTCAGAAGCATTAACTTGAGAAGCAAAGCGACTAAAATAGGGGATGTAATGAGAAATATTATATTGTTATATCATTTCCAGTTTAGTGTTGATCCAAGGACATGCATAGCTTTGTACTACCAATTTTAATTCTTTTTATCTATTTACTGTTCATACTATTTAAAAAAAATAAATAAATAAATAGATAGATAGATAAATAAATAAATAAATAAATAAATAAAACTGTTGTGTGTTATGTGTTTTAGCAATTAATTGACATGGCATTTCTGTTTTGGGGGGTTGAAAAAAAGTAAAAAAATGTACAAGTGTTTAAAGACCCCCTATTATGCATTATAAAGGGGTCATATTTTGGTTTTAGGGTCTCCAACAACAGTCTGATATGCATGCAAGATCAAAAACACTCTCATTGTCTTAAAATATGCATTTATTTTTAGCTAATCATCCTAACGACTCCTATATGATCTGTTCAGCAATTCATTTGTTCCCAATCACCTCTTTAGCGCGATGCTAATTTTCGCTGATTGGTCCAGTGACTAAGTCTGTTGCGATTGGTCGACTGCGTTCAGTGCGAGACAGAGCAAAACACTCACCATGGCACACGCAAAGCTTGAAGGTAAACAAACAACGGCTTATCATAAGCATCTCATCGATGATTATTTACACAGTTGGCATTAAGAAGAACATATAAACGTGATCTGACTAACTTCTAGCAGCTAAATGTGTCTGGAAAAATATTTAAAGGCTTTTATTCTCATAAACCGCGCGGACATAAATGCGTCTGACTGTTGTGATTGACTAAAGCAGACGTCTCACGTCAGCACGTTCTAGACGTCCACGCGCTTATTACGGCAATCTTCCTTCTGCATTCACACAGCGCAGCATTCCGGCAAATTGCCAGTAATGTTACAACTTTTCTTTTCGGAAAATAGCCACAACGAATTTGCCGGTATTTTCAAAAAGGACCTGTTCACATATACAACCTTTCCGGAAAATTGCCGGCAATTTTCCGGAAAGGTTTGTATGTATGAAATGGGCTATTGTTGAAGTAGTCAGAATGCAGAGTGTATGAGTGAGCCCAATGCAGGAGTGCATTAAAGCAATGCACTAAAACACCAGCAAATTGCTCTATTTTTAACCATGATATACATCCAGTATTAAGTGGCTAAAGCTGAACTATTTGGTAACTTGACCGCCACACGTGTATAGGAAAAGCTGACGGTGGCCATAGCAACAACAAATGGCAGTGGATTGCAAGCTCACAAATGCATTTAAATCTGTAAAGAAATTTGCAGGCGTTGAGTTTTCAATGTGGTTTTAGACATGATATGTGAATATAAAGAGTTAACCAGAGACAGCACAAGCCACGTGGAGCTTTTACAAGAAACGAAACACAATTTAATACAAATTTTGCAAGCTAGAGAAAACAAGGAGGCAACCATTTTAATCGCACTAAATTTACTTACACTTGTGAAATGGAGGAAGAAACTGATCTATGAACTGTGTACAGATAAAGTTCCTGTCAAGCTCTGACAAAATCCCACACATCAATGGTCTTTTCTGATCCTTCCTTTAAGAAATGGCTGATGAATCCCTTGTTGCATTAATCACCAGAACATTCACTTATTAATGTTCAATCGTCTTCAGTCATGATCAGTCCCACACACATCAGCATTAAAGGGAGAGGCGCATTCACATTTTACCCAATCTGAGTTTTTATTTGGTATTGTTTCATATCGACATCGATACAAACAAGCAAAATATCCGGATAATCAATGCATCTTTTAAACGACTCTGAGTCAAATCTTTTATTAGTATTTTTTATTTATTTTTTTAAACACGGTGCACTTTCAGATTTAAACCTCAGCTAGATGTTTTCATTCACTTAGAGTTACACACTGCAAAGAAGTTCATTTTCCAATAACCAATAATAGGGGCTCTTTAAAAATGTGTAAACAACAATCAGACATGTAAATTATTTGTGTAGTCTTTCAGAATATCAACTGCATCATTTAAGATAAAATATTTAAGATTGGGGGCCAAATTATGAGCTTGACAAAATTAGGAGAAGTCCATTCTCCTGCTACCTAAATTATTAATTTATTTATTTGCTTTTTGAGCTGAACACGCTCAAAACAGTGGAGATGATAATGGACTTTAGGAGAAACCCCCTTGCACTTCCCACACTGACCATCATGAACAGCACTGTTGCTGCAGTAGAGTCATTCAGGTTCCTGGGCACCACCATCTCTCAGGATCTGAAGTGGGACATTCACATAGACTGTATTGTGAAGAAAGCTCAGCAGAAACTGTACTTCCTTCGTCAGCTGAGGAAGTTTAACCTGCCACAGGAGCTGCTAATGCAGTTCTACTCAGCTGTCATCCAATCACTTCAATCACCGTCTGGTTCAGCTCAGCTGCCAAAACCGACCTCCGTAGACTACACCAAATAGTCCAGACTGCTGAACAAATCACTGGTCCTTCCTACACTTGTAGGACTGTACTCTTCCAGAGTGAGTAAAAGGGCTCGCAAAATCACTCTGGACCCCTTGCACCCAGCACACTTCCTGTTCGAACTATTACCGTCTGGTCGGCGCTTCAGAGCACCAAGCACAAAAACAGCCAGACACAGGAAAAGTTTCTTTCCTCAGGCCATCTACCTCATGAACACTTAAATATTCCCCAACTGTGCAATAAATATGTGCAATACTTTCTCATACGCGCTTTTACACAGCATCTTATAACAATTTACAATGCAATACTTTCTCCATACACATTTTTACACAGCACCTTTTAACCTGTATATTTATAACAAATCTGTACATACAACTCAACATTCAGATCTGTTTGACCAACTGCATCTCTGTTTAATGTTTATCGTCTTTTTCATATTTATTTTGTGTTGTCACTTATGTACAATGGAAGATTTTGTAGCCAAAACAAATTCCTTGTGTGTGCGAAGAACACTTGGCAATAAAACTAATTCTGATTTATTTTTTTTTTTATTGTCATTCTGAAATATTTAGCCATTTCAATGTGTATTTTGGCAATTTTAAGATTTAAAAACCTGCATACTACATCAATAAGTGCTAAAAGAAGTTTGGCTTTATACAGTATAAGCAGTGTAAGTAACAATTTACAAATACTGAAACTACTGTAATTAAGTAGTTTTTCTCAGCAATTGTAATTTAATAAGTCGTTTTAAATATGTGTACTTTTACTTTCCCTTAAGTACATTTTAGTGCAGTATCTGTGCTTTTACTCCACTATTTTCCTTCAACCTGCAGTCACTACCTACTTTATTTTTTTCTTGTCTATGGTGATTGGCTAAAGTACATAGAAAAATCAGTCTTGTGATTGCTGTTCAATTAAATCACACATAGAAAGTTAATCGCATCATACTGAACTAACCCTCAAAACCTGGGTGATTTAATAATGCAACAAAATCTTTTCTGTTTATAGACTGCATGTCACGGACAAAAAAAATGAAGGATGTGGACTGTATGAAATCACTAAACAGCCTTAAACAATCACCAAATGGAATGAATGAAGAATTGGAAGGGTCGAATGAAGAAGGGACCAAACAAGGAATGGAAGGACAGATCGAATGAAGGAAGGAAGGATGAAATGAATGACTAAAAGATTCAAGGAAGGACTGAACAAGCTAAGGAAGAAAGGAATGAATAATAATTCCTTAAATTTATATAGCGCTTTTCTGGGCACTCAAAGCACTTTACACAATGGGGGGGATCTCCTCATCCACCACCAGTGTGCAGCATCCACCTGGATGACGCGACGGCAGCATTTTGCGCCAGACCGCACACCACACACCAGCTGATTGGTGGAGAGGAGACAGTGATGAAGCCAATTGAATATGGGGATGGTTAGGAGGCCATGATGGACAGAGGCCAGTGGGCAGATTTGGCCAGGATGCCGGAGTTAAACCCCTACTCATTTCGAAGGACATCCTGGGATTTTTAACGACCACAGAGAGTCGGTACCTTGGTTTAACGTCTCATTCGAAAGACGAATGAATGAATGAAGGCACAAAGGACCTAATGAAGTATGGAACAAAATATAAATGAACAAACAAATAAATGAGCAATCGAATAAAAAGAAAAATGCAGGAAGGACCAAATTAATGAAGGAAGGATTTAAAAAGGATTGAACAAACTAAGGAAGAAAGGAACGAACAAACAAACAAACAAACAAGTGAATAAATGA